CTCCCTCTTGAACAGGCACCTGGGAAAGGAGCACGTGGCACCCGCCTGAGTCCGTGGTGCTGGAGGAGAGAGCTCGCTAAAGGAGACACACTTGATGTGACTTGAAGCCCAAGGAAGCTGCACGTGGTGGTGACATAACAGCGCCTTGGCAGCTTGCCACTGCAGTCTTTCCTATGAAGGGGAGGACAGGCCACCAGGCCCACTTGGCTTTTCCCCAGGGACCTGGAAAGAGCCTCAGGGGAGTCATCTCTCAGACAATCTTTCTGATTCTCCTCTGCACCTCTCTCAGGAGGCTTAGTCTATTTGACTGCAATTCTTTCTGCCTTTTTCCCCCCAAAAGTGTGTGAGCCTCTCTCTAACTGAGGGCAGTATCTTGGTCCTCTGTCTCCCTGGCACTGAGCACAGCTTTTGGCACCTAACAGGTGTCACCCATTGGAGAGTCTCTCAAGGAGGCGGTCCCCTAGACTCTTCCAGGGGTGTGCAGTGGAGCCTCGAGTTCTGAAGATGGGTTACGTAACCCCTGAGCAAGGAATGTGTTGTGCTTCTTCCCGTCAGCTTTGGCGCTTTAATCAGCCCACAGGTAGTGTGAGTTACAATCATTCTAGTCAAAGTCGTGCCAGATAAGCATTCTCGGAAGCATCTGACTGAGCTCTCAGTATGGGAACCTGCTCTCCCAACTCCGTGTTCACGGTGGGTCATTTGTAAACTGAATGAACAGACTTAAGAAAAAAGCACTGGACTAGAAATACAGTTTTTATAGCTGATTCAAGCCGAGGGGCTCAAGGCAGAGGTTAGAAGGTAAGACCAGCGGGAGCAGGCCCGTCTGACTGCCTTACACCCAGCCCCTGACTTTGCACCTTCTAGGCTTGGAAGAGCAGCAGACAGTTTGGAGGGGCAGGTGGGAGAATATCTGAAATCCGTGGTATTGCTGTCTTTCCTTTTCTCTATCCAGAAGTAAAAGATTAAAAATAACCCCCTATTTTGAGCAGTTAAGGTAGGAATGATTGAATGGGAAAATGTGCCAAGAGACTGACTGGCTTCCTTCAGGTTTCCTGTCCTCTTTTTTGTCTCTGCTGCCGAGAAGTGGACACTAGAACATTCCACCGCTCACGCAGACCTGCTGTCAAGCTCATGGCCAGGCCTGCCTTGTAAGGAGGCAGAAGACCTGCCCCCAGTGCTGGTTGCATCACACTGTCTCCTGCTGTCTGGTGCTGGGAATGTCTTGCAAGTTTCTGTTTCTGTTTGACAGCTGCTTTGCCCGTCTCTCACCTAGACTCCAGTTTGGTCTCCCATCTTTAAACAGTGCTCTCAACCATAGAACAGTTTCCTGCTGCAAATCTGTTGAGTCTTTTGATCCCTGGTTTTTGTTCTCAGCCTGGATGCTGGCTTGCAAGCCTCTGCTTTTGTCTAAGAGGAAAGTGAGCTTTGAAGGAAAACATGTGGAATGTTTCCTTTGTAAGGGAATTATGAGTAAGCTGTTATCTGTTGAAAGCACTACATCATTTATTTTGCACGTGGAACCTTTGAAAAGCATGTGCCTCATCTTCTGCAGTGCCAGCTCTTCTGTTCCCACACTGTTTGATGCACATTTGTAACTGAAGGACCTCAAAAATGGTATGTTTAAAATTCAGCCAGAAAGGACTGTGCTGTGGTTGTGAGGGCCGAGGCTGGACACCCCAGAGGTATCCTGTATTTCTCGCTTAATTATTCCTCCCAGCACATCACTCACCAAGTCCTGCCTGTTCACCCTGTCCTTCCCATTGCCTGGGTTTCCACCCCATCTCAGGCCCTGATTCCCTCCTGCTGGGCTTTGTACTTTCCTTCCTCAGTTATGTCTTCCTTTGTACACTTCCTTCCACGCTAAATCCAGAATTAACTTTTGAAAACACAGGGTAGTCATGTCACTTTCAGGAAGAAGCACAAGAGAAGGGTCTTTGGAGACATACATCCTGCGTTGAAATCCTGGGTCTGCTACTCACTAGTTATGTGTCCTTGGAGAAATTTCTTCCCCTTTCGCTTTCTACATTTGTTGATCAATAAAATGAGGTTGAGAGTGTTTATCCCAAAGAGTTCTGGTGTGGACCAAACACGTGACTTGTGCATCTAGCTCACAGTTATGTCTTTTTTTTTATTTACTTAACACTTCAGTAGTTGCCTGTCATATAAAAGATAAACTTACCCTCTTTGGAATAGACTGTCTCTTCTCAGAGTCTCCCCTAAACTACCTTTTTACTTTTCCCTCTTTATACGCTCTTTTCCCCCATGTATTCCAGCCGTGCTAAATAAATCATCATTGCTGAACAGAGTATTTTTTTAATTGAAGTACCATCAGTTACAATGTGTCAATTTCTTGTGTACAGCATAGTGTCCCAGTGTTGCATATGCACACATATATTTGTTTTCATATTTTTTATTAAAGATTATTATAAGATATTGAACATAGTTCCCTGTGCTATATAGCAGAAACTTTTTAAAAAATCTGTTTTTTTTACATTTTTTATTGATTCATAATCATTTTAGAGTGTTGTGTCCAATTCCAGTGTTCAGCACAATTTTTCAGTCATTCATGGACATATACACACTCATTGTCACATTTTTTTCTCTGTGATTTATCATAACATTTTGTGTATATTTCCCTGTGCTATACAGTGTAATCTTGTTTATCTATTCTACAATTTTGAAATCCCATTTTAAAAAATCTATTTTTATATATAATGGCTAACATTTGTGGATCTCAGACTCCCAAATTTATCCCTTCCCACCCCCTTTTCCCTGTAACCATAGGATCGTTTACTATGTCTGCGAGTCTGAATAGAGTATTTTTTTTTTCCTGATTTCCTGATTCTCTTACAGACTTTTCCCTGCACCTGAAATGTTCTCACCTCCTTTCTACCCTGGTTGGGTTTTATTTATTCTTCAAGATCCACCCCAATTATCTCTATCCTCTGGGAAAAAAAAGGAGAAAATCATCCAGCTAACATTATAACAAATAAAAATGCATATTAAATGTATAACAAAAGTAAATACTTTTCCTGGATGAACAAATGGAATGTCTATTAAAATGCCTAGTTATTTTGGTAAGTATTTTTCTGCTAAGAAACCTTGGAGCTAAAGGCTTTTTTAGGAGGCTTACATCTTTCACTTGAGAAGTGGGAGGTTGATTGTTCTCTTGGGTGACATAAGAGAGGGTCTGTTGGAGTGTCCTTAAGCTCTTTGACATGGTACATACTCAGCTGCGTGGACTCTAGACATCTGACTCTGCTTGTGAGCCTGACAAGAGGAGAAGGACTAGGTGAACCCTTACTTCTGAATGTGGCAGTAGGACTAGAAATAGGAGCAGAGTGCCTTGTATTTATATGGCCTCAGATCACCTCCGTTAGACATTGAGAATAGCTGCACGGTGGTAAAAGATGTTAGAAACCCTTTGTGGAAAGGAATTCTACCTGGGCCTTGAGGAATTCATTGGACTTTGAAAACTGGAAGAAGATAGAAAAAGGGATTTTAGATCGTAGATTAACCAAAGGCCTGGAGACAGTGAAGACAAGGGCTTCTCCAAGAAAAGGCAGTTAATCCAGTGTGCTGTGTAGCGGGGAGGGGTGCCTGCAGGGGAGTAATCCTGGGAGTGTTTTGGATTCTGGAAATTTGAACGTTATGTTGTATGTCATGGGAAATGACAAGGCCAAATCTGTGTTGGAGAAGGTGACATTTGTGGCTGTTCATAGGATGGAAGAGAAGAGGCTGGAAAGAAGGAAAGCAAATCACCTGATCTAGCAGGCAGTGAGCGTGTAGGCTAGGGCAGGCGTGACAGCACGAGGGCGCGAGGCGTGCCAGCTGCGCACATGTTTGCAGGGGGAGGACGGACAGAATCTGGAGAAGGAAAGGGTGAGGGGAAGAAGCACCTGGCGACGGCGACGACGGTGAAGCTAGCTAGGCTCCCTTCTGAAGCTTCCGTTACTATATGACCTGCTGAATCGTGGGATTAAGGTTACAGTAGAGACGACTTGGGTTTTGTCCCATGGAAACTGAAATGTATACTTTCTAGTCCTGTCTCCCCATTGCCCCTTACCATTGCTGTGTGTGCCTGGGGACTGTGCCTGGGGACTGGACAAGCCTGTGCTGAAGAGTGCCTGCAGTGTTCACTGTGGTGTGAGGATGGCTGGTTCTCTGTAATGTGCAGGGCACAGGCACCTGGGAGGGCACACCCTACTGGCTCTGCTGGGGTCGTCGTCGTCATCATCTTGACTGTCTTCTGCTCTCTGTAGGTGACCCTACTGAGCAGTCTCACGTTCCTGCTTAGGTGGCACTTAGGACTGTTGAAGACTTGGGTGATTTGGGAAATGTCTTCTGGCCAGTGGGGGGCAGTGTTGCATAGTAGACGGCGCCCAGGTTGTGCAGTCAGATTTATGTGTAATCCCCGGTAGTGAGACACCAGAGCATCTTCAGAATCACCTGGCGTTTCCTTTTAAAGTACACATTCTCGTCTGTATCCCTTGGGAATTCTGATTCAGTCAGTCTGGGGTAGGGCCCTGAAATTGGTCTTTTTTTTTTTTTTAACATTCTAGGCAATTTTGATAGCTAAATTTGGAAACTAGTGATTTAATCTTCCTTAGTCTCAGATTTCACAGGACGGCTATGAACATTAATGAGAAAATACTCTGGGTTTTGTAAACTTTAAATCGCAATAAATTATTAGTTGTTAATTAAATTACTTCTTGAAATAAAATTTCCATCCCTTTTTAAAAGACTTCTTAAATTTCTCATCAGTTTGAAGCTTGACTATATGAGAGCATGTTATATTGGTTTGATCTTTATGCGTTATGATAGCAGAGACAAAACTAATGAATTTGTCCAATACATACACTTAATACATAAAATTATAAGATTAGTTGGATGATAATTTTCATCAACAATGATGATAGAAAGTAGAATTACTTAAATTGTTGTTAAATCTGAAAAATAAATGTCAGATTTTATAGATGGCAAGGAAATACAAATAGAAATTGCTTCTATATTTTTTAATACAAAACTCACATTTATTATTGGCACTGTGATAATTTAATTTACAAATATAGTCTGGCTTCCCAATTTTAAGGCAATAGCTTAAGATAAATACATTGTTCTCCTCTTCAGCTCTTTCAAGCCCCAAACAATCAACCAAACAAAACAACATGGGAAAACACTGTATCAATAATAGCAATGGTGTTTTTCAAACACATGCTTTTCCAATAGTCATCCAAGTAAGAGATTTCAGCAGCTCGATGCAATCTCTTTACGACAATATGCAGCATAAATGTCAGTTGACCTTGAAGCTTATAGCATATTCTAATCAGTTTCAAAACCTTTATTCACAGTTTCTGTGCAGATGGAGTTACCAGCCTTCTCAGTTCCCAGGGACTTTCTAATGCACAGGGCCACTGCATTTCAGGACAGTTTCAGGTATCCTTCCACCATCTCTGTTCTCACCTCATGCTTCCTTAGCCCAGAGCCTGTATGACCTCTGTGTTAATCCATTCTGAATCCGTGGTTCTTCCCCTGGGCCTGTGAGTCATCCAGAAAGGCCAAAGTGTCCCCTGGGGGACTGTCCTGGTACATTCCTTCTGTGCCTCACGCCGCTGTGAGTCCTTCCAGTGGGGAACCAGTCACTTTAGACTATTGGCCTGAAGGTCATTCAGAAGATTTAAGTATATATTTGATTTGAGGAACCTAGGATAGGAGTCCTTTTCCATAAGAGTGTATATGACTTTTTGGGCTTCATCAAAACACGTGGGCGTTGGTGCTTTAATCTTCTTGGCTGTCGATTCTCGAGTGCGAAAGTCAATATTGATCTGAAAAGAAATCCTCATTAGTTCACATGTACTTCCAATTCATTGCACACTTTCTGCTGTTACTGTTGTTTTTGAAGCAACTCAAGACAGTGGCTTTAGGCCCCCATTTAAATCAGCCCAAATATTTCTTGAATGCCTTACACTAGGTGTGGAGGAGTGAAAAAGAAACATCACAAAAAAGCAAAAATATCCTTGCTCCAAGTTAACTCACAGTATATTTGGGAGATGCCAAAGAGGCAGATATGGAAAATTTAAATATTTATACAAGGGCGATACATGCATCAAAACAGTGATGCTCACATTTAAGATTTACAGGAGGAGGGGACACTTTGTGCAGCTAGTTGCTGCTTGAAGCAGGAATATTTAGCTGGAAGCTGGGCACTACTACTAAGTGGAGACATTTTTGCTGATGCAATCCATTATTGCATTAATCTGCATTTTATCCTAATCCGAGACCCCCTAATATGCAATTCTAGTCAGTGACACCGGTATTCCTCCCCCCATCACATTAGCTTGTTTTACAAAACCAATCTTTCATCTAGTCTTTTCACAAACATGGAAAACTAGATTATCATTGCACTGAACTGTATGAGTACACCTAAATATCTAGCAGTGAAAAATGGTGATACTCAGAAAGGATGTCACCTTGCTAGAATGTTGAATGTTGCTCTGTATCTAAGTGCCTTTCCATAGAAACTGAGGGTAATGAACTCGATACTCACTTGTTTGGCAGCATCTGACTGCACAAATGCTTTATATATTTTCTCTGCTTTGCAGTGCAGAAGATCAGACTCCGTTTTTTTATAGTCTTCACATGCCAGCCAGAACTCAATATTCTCCTCACTAAACTCAGACTTTAGGAAATTTCCAAAGACATCTTGACCAGCTAAAAAAAAAAGGGCGAGGAGTGAGATAAATTAATTGAGCCAATAAATGTATACCTTGAAGAATTTTGCAGGAAAAATACTCTTGCATTCTCGGCATACAAAGGTAAGATGGCTGCTGAAATATCTGTGTCATAGTTCAGAGAGATGGGGAGGCCTGAGAGATTCCTTCATTTGTGGTTTATTTGGGATCAGACTAACTTGTCCGCAGTTACACAGCTGCTCAGTGGTGGCCAAAAAACTGTGCTGTACTTCCAGCTGCTCATTAAACTAAAATTCTACTCTGCAGTCTCTTTTCTTCTAATACCGACTCTTAGCCAGAGTGCAGGGTATCTTAGGGAATCAAACACGCTGACGAAGGCGTTAACACCATGTTACTCATTAACATGTATAATGTCTCCATCCGGTTCACATCAGTCAGAAGACGTGAGGCCTATGTATTACCTACTGCAATGTCCTGATTGTGTTTGCTACTGTTCCTGAGACTTTCCAGTGGGCCACTCTGTAGCATTATTTGTTTGGCTGAATCTAAGTCAGATAAAAAGTGGAGGAACCAGGTTACACTACTTGAAACCAAGCTCTGTAGGCTCTGTAGGGTGACTGTCGAGGCGGGGGGTGGGTGGTGATCCGCTCACCCTGGGATTGGGACAAGCTGCCCATCTGCTGGGGTCCCAATCCTGACAGAACCACAATGTCTGTGATGAGGTTAAAGCAAGCTGATTTCATATTTTATCTTCTCTCACCAGAAACTCCCCACAAGACACTGTGTTGAAGTCTTTTTATTGTATCTGTGTTAGAACATGTGTCATGTTGTGCATCGTACAGTTATATGCTGTGTCTCAGCTACCTTCAAGGCCGTAAAGCACTGTGTCTTTGTTTTTGTATCCTTAGTGCTTCTGAAATGCCTCCACATAAAAGTGGGCTGAATGAGTGACAACGCATGAATGAATGAAAAAATAATGAACTGATGGAGTGGAATCCTACCCCTTACATCCCGTGCTACAAAAATACATTCCTGGGGTAGCTCTCAGAATAGCCGTTCACATGTTGAGGTGTGTGGTTTACTTTTAAAACCCTTAAACTTCAGAACACCAGCAGAATTTTAAGTTTTGCTTCTCTAATGATCCACGGAAACACCTACATCTCTTGGCAGATTGTCTAAAGGGCTGGCCAAACTGAGTGCTAAGTCCACACAACACCACTGTGAGGCGTTTGTGCTAAAGCTATCAGTGCTACAGAAAGACTTGAGTACAACTTTTCACACACTCTCCCATCCAGAATACCGTGTTTTAATGAAACCATTCAATCTGTTAGCACATTGAGATAAACCCAGAGACAATCAGCAGTTAAACTGTACTTACTTTGGTTAGCAAGAAGTTTTTCCAGAGACTGAGACCACTGCATTACTTCATCGACAGAGAGTCTGCAGGGGACAAGATTTACATAAATTAGTAAAGTATTTTTTCTGTATAAGCACAAGTGAAATCAGAATGGCTGCTGCATTTTGATAACTTCACTAACTAAGACTGTAGTTCCAATAAATTTTATTAAAATTTATAAGAAAACAAAAATTTCCTTAGACTACTGTAGTTTTGAAAATATCTGCCAATAAAATGTGAAAAAATCCAAATACACTCCAACGGTATAATAAATAGCAAATATATGCACACATTGTATTCAGTTTACATTGTTACTAATGTAGTTTAATCTTATTAGGCTTTTACTTAAAAGAAATAAAACCCATTATGTGTAGTATTAGTCTTGCTAGAATATAGACTATAGAACTAACACATAGGGCTTTTATACTGATAGTTCAGTGTATTCGTGTACATACATGTCCTTGGACTTGGAAGGTTTCATTCCAGATTCCAGATGTGGGAGCATAGATCTCAGGTACGCTTTCACATCCATCCCACTACAAAAGATACAGAAGTGAATACTCGTATTTCCTCAGTAGAAGACATTTTACTTGTAAAAAGAAAAGAGCATGAAATAAACTTCTCCAAGGAATAAGGCAGAATAAATCTGGTTGATGCAACATTCTGCAGTTACTAAGATTGAGTCGATTTTTCTGAGCCCAGATCTGGAAGAATTCCCACCTCATTTAATGCCATATCATGATTCATTTTTAAATAAAACTGAATATACTTATAATTCACAACAGGTTATTGCTCAGATCCAGCTAAACTAAAGACCCGGGTTTTCTTCCATTCATTCTCAGTCCTTCTGCTAGATCAGAAAGATCTAGCAAGAAAGATCATCCAAGTCAAAATCCACAAAGCAAGACACTGAATGAACTTACAAAGTCTTTGGCCTCCTTTTTTGCGTCTTGTCCTCTAGAAGGGAGTGATCAGTTCCTTTCAATTCCTTTGGACTCGCAGAGAAGAACATACCTGGCATTGCATCCAGCCTCAGCGCGGAGGTGGCCCCTGCTCGCATAGTCCCCAAGAGGCAAATGTCTGCTAGTCCACGTCTTTGCTGCTTTATATAGTGACGGCTCCCAGGCCCTGGCTGTTCAGACGAGCCTGTTTATCAAGTGATGTTACCACAGACACTGGAAGTTCCCCCTTTCTTGCTGTGTCGTGACGTGTATCTTGAAAAAAAAAAAAGCACACAGTGATGTTTTGTGGTTGAAACTTAACTAGATGAGACTGGGTCACTTGATTAGATAGAAAGAAAGAACATTAAACTTACAGAAGCCCCACACGCACCACTAAGACCTCAGCAGCATCAGTCTTTGGTTCTAGGGGACTTTTTTTTTTCATAAAAAAATGTATATTGCAATAAAATGTTTCATTTGGGGTATTTATTGTATCGCATAGAAATTCAGTATTAGAGCTGGATCCCCTCAATGGTTTGAATAGTCCTTGACTGTAAAATTCTTCTGATCACAGTATTTTCAAAAAGAGGTATTTCTTTTCCTTTCAGGAAGCAATGTAGACACATACTTTTTTGTTTATTTGTGCGTATATCTGGTAGGAAGGGGAGTGCTGAGAAGTTATTTTAACTTTTCCCTTCTCCAAACCTCATCCCTTATTTCCATGGCAAGAAATTTCCATTTAGTCTTTTCCATAGTGTGTACTGGGCATTCTACTGCCGAGATACAAATATTTTTAAGTGGTACTTGGATTTTAATATGTATTTGGAATATAACTAATATATCAAACTGGGATTTTTTTAGTGTATTACTGCTTAGGGTAAGAATAGAGTAAAATTTAAAACAGAACTATAAGCAAAAGCACAGTTAACACAAAATTGTGACCTAATATGTAAATATACTGATATGAAAGAATTGCACAATATCCAAAGAAAAACTGCTCTTGGTAAAAATAAGAGTATAATTGGACAGGCAATAGTGTGCTTCTTAGGTGATCTTCCAGATTTCAGCAGGATCTCTGGAGAGATACAGTCTAGCTTTAATTACGATTAAGGGTTAAAGTAAAACCCCAGGGAATTAGATGACTAATCACTGATCATGATATAGGAGCTGATACAATATAAGCTCTTATAGTGTTTGTATATAGAGTATGGTTTATTTATTGAGTGTCCAGTTTAGTTTAAACCTCCTTTGGTTTTTATGCCTGGAAAGACAAACATTTTACTTAGAGGGGCTCCTGAAGATATTAGGTAAAGCTGACAAAAGGGAATTAAGTATTATTTTTCCTATCTTAGTTCTATTGTCATGATAAAAAGTATTTGAAGGAATCACATTTACACTTAAAAATTTACTTACTACACAGTCATGCACATATATCACATTATATGTAGCAAGCATCATTTGATGTTCAAAAGATAACATAATGCATTGAGAAAGAGAACTAGAGAGATATGCTGGCCATTTTGGAAGTTACCCAAACAAAAATAATGGGGTTTAGAGACTGATGACATAAAGTCATTTGTTGTGTATTTCTTGTGGTTCAGTCCACATTTACTTTTCTGTTACAATCTTCAGCATTGTTTGTTTGTTTATTTAGTAAACTCTCATTCCTCTAAATAATTGTGGATATGTTATGTCAGGGAAAATGATTAAAGCTTATTTTTAATGGCCACTATCATTATTATCCAAATATACTGATAATTTCCAAAGCATGTTTCTGCAACAGTAATTCCTTTGGATGTTAATAAGCATTGCAAGGACTGTGACAGCAGCAGCAGCAAAGGTCCTGGGGCTACCTAAGTTTGGGAAATGGGTTAATGATCAATGCAGATCTTCTGAGAACCTTTATTATGTCAATGCATATTTTTCAGTCTCTAAAAGGAGGTTGGACTATGTGGCATATATGTCCTAACATTTTTGAGAACTGAACTCTCAGTAGGAAAAAGAGTTTGCAGAAATAATGTTCTCCTGACAACACGCTAGGAAGCTCTGGTCTGAGACAGAAATAAATATTTGCCTCTTACATAGTAATAATTCCTTAAACCTCCAACCTCTTACTACCTCAGTATACTTTCAAGCTTAAGCATTCGCAAGCAATTACAATTGGGTGCTTCCCAGCCTAAGTGGTAAATTAAACTCCTGATAGAGGGGGGTCTGTCTGAGATTCCTGCATCATGGTTGGCTGTTGAAGCCTCCTCACTGGCACCGTAACGTAGCTGTTCTTTCAAAGGCTGCTTGGAAGCACGTGCAGACCTTGTGTGTGTCAGAACTGGGCAAACCTGGAGAAGCTGTATCCGCAAGTGCGGGCGAGTCCAAGGCAGGGCACTGAAGTTGCCTGTCAGTCACACGCACAGAGTCACTGTCTGGTCCCTTTTTGTGAAATTCATTTAAGAAAAGACACATGATCAAATAGTGTCTTCACTGAGTTAATAATTTGGGTTGAAATTGTAGATGATTTGACAAAAGTCAATAGAATAAACAGTGGCTCTCATAAGCAGTTGAACCGAAAGCACAGAGTTCCCACAGACTCCCTCCACCCCCCACAGCCTTCCTCACCATCGCCAGCCCACATCAGTGTGGTGTGCTTGTTACATAATCAGTGATGAACCTGCACTGACACATTCATTATCACTCAGAGTCCTTCAGTTTTGGTGTTGTACATTATTTGGGTTTTTGACTAATGTATAATGATATATATATCTACCATTATAGTGTCATAAGAAGTTTCCCTGACCTAAAAATTCCAGTGTTATATTTTAAAATGTCTAGGAGATCGGTTCAATGAAGCATTGCAGATTATGGCTATCAATTTCAACAGGGTAAATTTTAATCTTTGCTCAGGTGATTTTGCATTTTGGTTCCACTCATTCCAACTGCCTGATTTTAGTAGGGAATGCTTTGCCGAGTGACTTTTTCAGCCTTGATGTCGATTAAACTGATGTTGAGCCTTCATAATTTTGCTGACGTTTTATTGTGGACATTAGGAATGATAGGGAAGAGGACAAAAATAAGTATGAAGTTATATTTTAAAAGCAGAGTTATATCTATATGGTAAGAGTCAACGACATGGACAGAAATTTTGATCCATTGAAACAAAATGTCTTGACTTAACAAACTTGAACTGTAGTCCTAAGAACTGCAAATAGAGAGAAGAGTGCATCTCCATCCAAAGGAGGTCAAAGTATAGTCTGGGCAGACAGGTACTTAAGCAAGCAATCAAAGTGAAGCGACGCCAGAGAGGAATGGGCGGAGGAAAGATTAACGCTGAAAGTGCGGGCCAGGGAAAGTGCTGTTGCCATTAACTCAAAGTCAGCATGCGGTGTTCCCTGCCTGCTTCTGCATTTGAGGTCAACATCCCTTGGAAAGTACAAAAACACTGCAGTGGAGAAACTGGTCTTTAGCAGGTAGACAACCCCTACGTGCATGAAGACCATGGCGGAGTGAGTGTGAAGACACAGAGCTTTGCAGAGTTCACAGGGGCGCTGAGAGACTTTGTTCAGTTCACACAGCCACTCAGTGGTTAGGGAATTAAGACAGGGGGTGACTGCCTGGTCTTTTTTGGCTCCTGCACCCCCTAGCCTTTGACAGTGTTTCAGCTAGATTTCTTAGAATTTGTCTGGAAAGCTTCAACAAAGGCGAATTTGGAAGGATTTTTCTCTTTGTCTGGGTAGAGCATGGGTGGGGACATTGATACCTTCTTTATGCCATTTATGAAAGGATTAAATGCTTTAGAACTGTTTATGATTTTATCTTCTAGGTGAAGAAATCAGCAGATAGGCTTTAGTAAGAGAGAATCTTTGCAACTTGGGGAAATTCAATGATCTCAGTAAAAGCAAACTGATCGAGATAAAAATCTAGTTTCTTTTTCTTACCCGGTTCTAATCTGCTTATAGTAAACACCGAGCGCCTCCTTTCTGTAATTTAAGAGTTTATAGAAAATCGAATGTGGGACCTTCAGTGCACTGGGCTCATGTGGCTCTATAAACCTCACCCAGCCTAGATCTCTTCTTGCTGATAAAGTTATTAAAGGCCCATCTTTCAAGTTGTTCTTAAAGTCCTAAAGAAATCTTTGATTAATGTTATCTCTGATATACTTCCTGCACCCTGTGATTTATAATCACCCTATAATTTATAATCATTGCCACAAGGGAGAATAGTCATGTCAGACTCTATTTGCTTTGTCAGACTATGCTTTGCAAATAGAATTGAGCCAGTACTGAATAAACGGAAAACTGTGCTATAAGAACATTGGCACTCTACTTGCAGTTGGACTGGAACGTTCTGGTACATAACACAGGCCATACCTGCAAAAGCAAAGATGTTCAAAGGTCAGTCAGTGAGGCAATTTGTAAAGGAAGGTGTATTTTAATTATCAGAGAACAACTTCAGTAAATGACTTAATTTTTCAAATTTCTGATAAACATGACTTCAGTAGTTTGCCTTTGCTTTTACTAAATGGTTAACAGGAGTGACTTACATCCTTTGCCTTTCTCTATTAATTATGTAATTTTCCTTAAAAAGTTCTATCAGGGTTGCCCGACACGCTCTGTCCTTTGCAAAACCACGTCGCTGACTCCGTGTGACTGTATTGATGCCATTTTCTTCATATACTTTCTAATGTTTTGATTTTGTGTTTATTTACCTTTTTTTTAAACCAGGTATTGGTGTCTCAGACCCACGGGACATTTATTTCATAATAAATGTCATACTCTCAAAATAAATTATGGTCTTCCTACTTAGGTAAACACTTCTGAGTCAGTAGTGACCATGCTAGCATGAGTCTTCTGTTCTTGTGGGCGCAGGTGGTCTGTGGTGTCCCACCGTGTCCTCTGCCTGCTCCGCCCTCTCCAGAGAGAGGCTTGATTCTTTATCCTGTTTTTCCTTTTTTCCTGTTTTATTTAGATGAAAAGTTTTGAGCCCCCTGAAGCCCAGTGATGGGCTAATCTTGGTGCATTTCAGAGGCCCGAGGGCTCAGCACCAAGCTCTCACTCTGGCCTGATTTGTCAGTTTGATTGTGTCAGCTAACTTCTTGCCAGTTTCCTGTGTGTAGAAGTGAGAGATGATGGTTAAGCAGTTTGCCGCTGTGGCAGTGGGGTCGGGAAATTTTGGCCCCTTCCCAGATTCTATAGTGATCAGAGCTAGGCCCCAAAGTATGTGCATTTAGATGGAATTCCTTATAGGTAGTATTTGTTCCACTTTTACTTCTAGGTTCGAGCCCTTTACCTCGAGTTCTCAAAACACTGTGAATGTGGCAGCCCAGCTGCTCCGGAGTCAGGGCTCCTGGCCCCGCGGCTCTGCACGCACTGGGTGGGCCCGTCTTCCACGCCGGTCCTTGCTCTGTCAGTATTTATTTGTCATGGGGCTCCTCTGCTCTCAGCTAGTGTATTTTTGTAAAGTACTGTGTTAGACACGTACAAATGCATGTTCAGATGTTAACGATGTGAAAACATCACAGACTCTTCTGGCCAACCCCAATCTAATTTTCTCGCCATCTGCTTTTTGATACTCATAGCTGGAAATATGGATCACTCCCAACTGCAGACCTTAGCCAGCTCCAGTTTCTGAGTCAGCCCACAATGAGGCTGGAAAGCGCAAAGTTATTTCAGTTTGAATTAGGAGTGGCGGCAAGTTTCTGTTGGGAGTCTGCTGTTGGAAAACAGGATTTTCATGGTTGCCAAGTGTCAGCAACCCCATTTTGAGGGTTAGGTAACTCAGGCAAACAGAGATGAATGAAGTATCCCGGGAGTACCTTGAGTCATGAAAGGAAATGCTGAACAAACTCTCTCTTGGAAGGCCAGCTAACCCTAAGCTAGGCCTCGGTGTGTTGCGAGTTTTGAATTTGCTTTAGATCAGGGGGAGCGCCTCATTGAGTAAGCACGGCTGCCGCCAACCGTGAAGTCTGCATACAGCAGTTCCAAAGGTGGCCGCCTCCCAAAGTGTAAATAGCCCTCCTCCCAGTCTCTTCTTATCTCTTTTTTCTTCCCCTATGTGTCTTGTCTTGTTTTCGCCTGGATTTGTGGAAGCAGGAAACTAGGGCCATATGTTTGGTGGGAACTGGAAGTTAGAACAAGCTCATAATCTTATTTGACCGTTTATCTCCGACGATGTGGAAAATCAGGACATAGAAACCTTCAAACTGCACTGCCCTTCTGTCATTTTCCTCGTGAATATCAGGTCATTTTGACTTTGTGAAATTTTTGTCTTTTATTTATTTATTTATTTTTACCATTGTGAGGTTTTAAGTTCTAGCTCATGTTGGTTTGGTGGCTTGTTGATGACTCTTTGGCTTTTTCCTCTTGTGATTCTGTTTTGCCCAAGCTCTCTGTTCAGACAGTGAGATCTCAACACACCGAAGACAGTGCATAGAACTGATAAGAGCAGCCTGGTATGTGTGGGAGTTTGTTCCATTCTTCTAGCCTGGGGGTTTTTTTTCTCACATTTTGTCTGAGCTATGTTGAGGTAGATTTGCTTCCCCCTCTGAAAGAGTGAGCAGGCAATGCAAACAAAGTGAGGTGACTAGTAAAGCCTGCACTAAATTATAGCAAGAGGTTGGACGTGTGCAAGAAACCCAGGAAACTAGGTTGGAATGGGATAAGGATTGGAAATGTCACAGTGGGGCGGGTGATGCCCATGATTATCTCTGCACTGATCTGTCCCTTTTCTGACTTCACTGCACACCATGGGGCAGCTGTTGATTCCTGAGAAAATTAAAACCTCTTTAGAGTTGCAACATGAATTACATGGTCCTATCCAATCCTGGAAGTCACATTCTTTTTTTTTTTAACATTTTTTTATTGGGTTATAATCATTTTACAATGTTGCGTCAAATTCCCAAATTCTCTTTGTAATTTTAATTTTTTTGATTTACAATGTTGCATTAGTTTCTGATTCAGTTTTATACACACACACAAACACACACACACACACTTTCTCATATTATTTTCCAGTTCAGGTTACTACAAGTCATTGAAGATAGTCCCCTGGGCTATACACTAGGACCTTGTTGTTATCTATTCTTTACATAGTGGGTTGTATCAGCCAATCCCAAACTCCCAATTTATCCCTCCCTCCCCCATTCCTCCTCTGGTAACCATAAGTTTGTTTTCTATATCTGTGAGTCTCTTTCTATTTTGTAAATAAGTTCATTTGTGTCATTTTTAAGATTCCACATGTAAGTGATGTCATATGATGCTTGCCACATTCTTTAGAACAAGTATCTTGTAGATGTTTGCACTTTATACTTTGTCCTTTACATCTTCCAGTGAATCATTATTCACCTTGCATAGACAGTGAAAAGCTCCTGAGAAGACGTGAAAATGAAAATGTCCCCCTTTATGCAGAATCCGCCTGATCTGGGACAGTTATAGAGTCAGTGGAGCAGCCCCAGGAATACCAGGGAGAATGTCTCCGTTTCACTTCTCTTTTCATGAGCAAAGTTGTTCTACACAGTGTGTCACTTCAGAGCTCAGGATGAAAGAGGCTGAAAATGTTGAGGTCATTTCTTTTTTTTCCTGGTAGAAACCATACCCAACTATCAAATCACACACCAGTCAATCCACAGGAAGAAGATCTGGATGTCTCCAAAACCAGAGTGTCATCTGACAGCAGATGGAGGATGCTGAGGGTGTCTGTGATCACAGAAGACTTAAAGTCCCCATGGTTATGTCAAATTAAAGTCTATTTTAAGCACAGCCTAGCTCAGTAGCAATAATTTGATATTAACCAATGATTAAACTGTACCAAATATTATGGAGTAAGCAGGCCATTATCCACATTTGTTTATTCTTTCTCAGAAACACTGTTCAGTCCCCTTTTCTCCCCTCTTTAATTTGCCTTTTTTGCTCAGATCCTTGTATTTTGTACCCCAAAATTCTTCTCTTCCATTTTCTCCCCTCTGCACCTCTCTCCTCTTTTTTCTTCCCTAACCTTTTTGGCTTCTGGATGTGCGGATGGACTGTGGCTACCTGATTTCACTGTGAAACCTGTACCTTTATGAACTATCTGTCATTGTGAAATTAGAAGAAAGAACAGAACAAGCCCTTGGTCAGTTGAAAGCTTAGGGCTCCTCAGGGCTCTGTCTCCCAATCTCCCATCGAGTCAGTCGTCTTTTAGTCATAATCCTCAAGCAAAGCAAATGTCTTCTAAACAGACTTTTTTTTTTTAACTTGATTGTAATGAACCAGAAGGAGTCTGTGTTGCTCAAATGTCCAGAACAATGCCTGGAACCAAAAAGAGCTTGTTGAATAAGGGGTTAAGGGCTGAGCCTTACACTCATTTCTTCAACTATTCAACAAATATTTATTGAGTGCTGGCCGCATGCTGGTTGGTCTGGTAAGCATTAGGGAATCTAGGGGCGGATCTCATCCTGGAGAGAGACAAATGGATGGGAAATTTCAAAACCCGCGTTGAGCGTACGAGATAGGGTTTGGCACAGGGTGTTCTGGAGGCAGATATAATGTGGCACCTGATTCAGTGTCAGCAGCGTTATGAAATGTGTATCCACTCAACAAACAGTGCTTATGAGGTGCCAGTTACCGTTCCAGCCACTTTGAGAAAGGCCAGACTCAACGGGCATATGTCTTTGCCCTTTTCCTTCCTGCCATCTTGCTACTGTGAGACTTCAAAGGATGAAAGCCAGAGGCTGAGGATGGCTGAGCAGAAATATGGAGGGACCTGAGGCTCTGCTGCCATCACAGAGCCACAGGGCCTGCCTAGTCAGCAGATCTTGGATCTCTTGAACGTGAGAAGAAAATGGTCAGACTTGCTTATCTCACCACGTTCATTATGTTAGGCTTTCTGTACTTATCATTTTTTAAATTGAAATATAGTCAGTTACAGTGCATCAATTTCTGGTGTACAGCACAATGTCCCAGTCAATCAATGTCTTGTATTTTCATCATTTAAAAATACACAGTGTTATTTTTTTGCTATTGTTTTAGTTTGTGTTTGTATTCCTCCTGATTAATTTGGAGGGTTGCCTTTTTGTCCTAGTGGTTATCTTTGTAACTATGACATCGGATTATATGCCTCACCCTTCACTGTTTCACTGGTGTCTGTTACTGCCTATGAATTATCATCCCCATAGTATATTTTCCTTTCCCTACGTCTTTCCTTCCCCTCTTCAGTACAGTTTTGGAAGTGATATTTTCCTGGATTGTCCCTTAATACTTTCAAAGACTTTTACCACTATTAACTTGACAATATCTGTAAGGGATATTGTGTGATATCCAGCAATGAAACAGAAGACAATCAGGGTATCTCCAACTACCTCCCGCTTCTTTCCTCGTCCAGCCCCTGCTGGTCGGAGCATCAGTCCCAGGTGATCGGGGACATGTGGGAGTGGTGATGGGAGATGGGCTCCAGCCTTTACGGGGGGAGCTCCTGCTGTAGGTGGATGTGAAGCAATGAAAAGCTCCGCCCCTCCCCATATTTTTCTGATTGTTTTCATCAGCAGCTGTGCACTGCAGACTTCTTTTCACAAAGCCGTGGGGGCAACTTAAAACAGTGAAGTGTTGGAGATTTCATTCAGCTTTTCAAGGTGAGGCAGCCAACCCCCTGGGCAGCAGAAGCACAAAGCGGATGTCCTGTGTGGAAAACTGGCTGTGCCTTTGGGACTCCAATGGATTCTAATCCATTACGTCAGCCTGTGTGGCCATTGAAAGCTCTGCTGTTGTCTTCACTGTGGCATTTTCTCTGCCTGCTCCAAAACCCTCCCCTCCACCTGCGCCTGGCTGTGGCAAAGAAAATGACTGTGATCTCAGCCCACCTAGGAAGGGCTCTTCCCTCTCTGACTTTTAATTAATCTAGTCCTCTTTGCTTCTCTAACAATTGGTTATCTTTAAAAATATGATTTTTTTGAGATTACTATCTTGGAAAGATATTTGCACCCCCATGTTCACAGTAGCATTATTTATAGTAGCCAAGACATGGAAACAATCTAAGTGTCCGCTGATGGATGACTAGAGAAAGAAGATATTATATATCTATCTATAGATAGTGAAGTAACATTCAGCCATAAAAAAGAAGACCCTGCAATTTGCGACAGCATGCTTGAACCTTGGGGACGTTGTGCTAAGTGAAATAAGTCAGACAGAGAAAGACAAACGCTGTATGATCTCATAAATAGAAACTAAAAAAAATGAACTCATAGATACAGAGGACAGATTGGTGGTTGACAGAGGTGGAGGGGGAGTGGAGTGTGGAGGAAATGGGTGAAGGAGGTCAAAGGTACAAACTCCCAGTTATGAGATAAACAAGTCCTGGGGATGTAATGTGTATCGTGGGGACTGTAGTTAACGGTACTGTGCTGTGTAGTTTGAAGTTGCTAAGAGAGTAGATCTTAAAAGTTCTCATCATGAGAAAAAAGCTTGTTAACTATGGGAGCTGATGGATATTACTAAGCTTATTGTGATCCGTTCGCAATATATACATATATGCACACATACAACTAATGTACTGTTACCTACCAGTTATTTTTCCATAAAACTTGGGGTGAGGGAGAAGTTAAACATTTAATTAGTACAACTTTTAAGAAGTACACACTGAAAAAAGAGATGTTTTGGTGTTCTCTTATTCTTATTTTCCTAGCTGTTGCCGCAGGAGCCCTATTACCACTGCCTGTTACATCCTACGCAGAGGCCGTATTCTGAGCTCGAGAGTTAGTGAAATTCCGGAGATGTACTGGGATTCCAAACGGAATGGGCTTTTCTCTGGAGCCTCAGGAAGAAGCATGTGCGGGCGCTGCTGTTTGACAGCTCTCCTCGGCCACGGTGCCTTTCCTGTCCTGATGTGATCTTGCAAGAGGCACTGCTCACAGCTACTTGTGGAGACCACTTGTGGAGTCTTTAAAGATGGGGAAAGAATAAGCTTGTCAAGAGGAAATGGAACACATGTGAAAAAACAAGGAGACAAGCAATGATTATAGAAAAGTCAACCTGAGCATCGCGCTGAGCTTAAGGAGCCAAGCTGGTATGTCTGGGCATCTCAACTCACTTTTACCTACGCACCCAGCCCCACCCTCAGCTCCCGAGGAAGCAGATCCTGTTGAGCAGTCTGATTAGGAAAATGGTATCCCTTAATCTTTAAAGCAGTGTACGAGGTCTGTATTATTACTTCCATTTTAGATATGGGAATGGAGGCTCCTGAGGGCTGAATGGCACACCCAGCATCCTTCCCCACGCCCTGCTCAGGCCCTGCCCGTTCCCGTGCTCTGAGCCCAGGCCAGCTCTCCCCTGAGAAACCATCTGCCTTCACTTGGCTGGGGCCCCCTGCAGGCCTCGACTCACCGGAGACCCTCCCCAGTCCCTCAGCTCTGCTTTCGCTTCCGTGCCTTCCCCTTCTGAAGGAAAAGAAACGCCCACCGTTCATGCTTCTGAAAAAGGAAATCAGAGTCTCCCATCTAAAGTGATTTTGCCCTCTTTTTTTTTTTCTTTTTGGTCTCAGTGTTAGGACATTATATATTCCTATCAAGGCCTCTCTGTTGCTCTATAAAGTCCTAAGGTTTTATATCTTGAGGCGCTGCCTGTAATGTTCTTTTCAGGAATTGCAGTAAATGGGACACAGACACACACACACACAAACGTACACGCGCACACACCTTATTTTCTCCTCTGCAGTTTAGTCTTCGTGTAATACGACACTGTCCCATCCAGTGCATTTTTCGTTTTGGATATTGTTGTTTCGGTCTCTGGAAGTTTAGTTGGTGTCTTTTTTTTAATTGAAGTGTAGTCAGTTTATAATGTTGTATCAATTTCTGGTGTCCAGCATAATGTTTCGGTCATACATACACATACATATATTCATTTTCATATTCTTACTCATTATAGGTTTCCACAAGATTTTGAATATTGTCCCCTGTGCTATAGAGTATAAACTTGTTGCTTATCTATTTTATATGTAGTAGTAAATATCTGCAAATCTCGAACTCCCAGTTTATCCCTTCCCACCTCTTTTCCCCCCTGGTAACCACAAGTTTGTTTTCTATGTCTGTGAGTCTGTTTCTGTTTTGTAGATGAGTTCATTTGTGTCTTTTTTTTTTAAGATTCCACACATGAATGATATCATATGGTATTTTTCTTTCTCTTTCTGGCTCACTTCACTTAGAATGACGATCTCCAGGTCCATCCATGTTGCTACGAATGGCATTATCTTATTCTTTTTATGGCCGAGTGG